TAAATAGTAAATAAAATTTCAGAGTTTAGCTGGAGATATTAGAAGTATAGAGTTTCAGAAGACTTTAGAAGGAACTGAAAGCCCAATCCTAAACCGGAAATAAGGGATAAACTTTTACTCCTGTTCAAAAGACCAGGAAAGAGGATGAACCAGATGATAACTAAACCTATCTATTTCTAATGAGGAAAAATAAATGAATAAATAATAAATAGTAAATAAAATTTTGGTGTTTTAGTGGAGCTGTTAGAAGTATAGAATGGAAGTAAACTGTTGTAACCTAAGGAAGGTAACTGAATAGAATAATCACATGAAGGTTGGTAATGAACAAGAACACTTAGGATAAGACCAACACATATAAGATTCGCCAGCAGTGCGTAGAAGAAGTAGTCAACTGCTAGAAGTGAGTTAAGTGAATTCCACAATGAATCTCCAACTGCAGACCAACATACAGTATTTACTGCTGTATTTATGTGAATGGGGACATACCCATTATCGTCCGTAGGTATTGTTATGGTGAACTATCTACATTGAAATGAACTCAATTACTGTTGAAACTTGAATAAAGCATGGAATAATAATAATACAACACAAAATGTACTTAAACAAAATGTATTGACACAAGAACGTGTACACAATATTTACAGATAGTTTGGTATATTCTTGGGAAGACCGTTCCTGTAGAATGGGTTGACTTAGTCGCAGTCGGGCAGAGTCTCTGGATTGGATCTCTTCTTCCTCCCCCGTCTTCCCGGTACCAACCATATTTATATGGTCGGTAGTCCACTATGTAAATTAGGTGGATTGTACCACAACAATTACTAACCTGTGAAACTTCCTAGGTGGGCAGTTGGGACGCAGTGTAACCTGACAGTTCGGACGGACACTTCTATCTGCTGACTAATAACACTCTTATTTTGTATATATGTTCTGTTATTTCAATACACTTGTTCAGCCTAACTTCTTTTTCTGTGTCTTTCTTTCTGGCCCCTAACAGGCCACAACAGGTATGCTGCAATATAGATTTTACAAGGAACCAGAAAATCAGTCCTAATCAGAAAATAAGGAAGTAGTGTAAACTGGACAATGGGTGAAAATATCTACACCTTATATATATATATATATATATATATATATATATATATATATATATATAAAAAGAAAGAGGTTATAGTGGTTCCAACAAGAGAAAAGTGTGTATATTAAAAAGAAGAGAGGTACTGCAAATGTTTTTGGTTGTAATGTGGATTTTTTTTTTTTTTAATATTATGCTTTATTTTCCATAATTTTACTACACAAGTTTCTGGTCTCATGAACATCTTCAGGTAAAAGGCAGAGATTTCCACATATTATTAAAAATAATTCATTTTTTTCCTTTATGTTTTTCAGTGTTAAATATTCTCGATATGAGACATTCTCTGTTTTTGCGTTAGTAATCCAAATGTCTTTCTTGAATTGGCAGTGAAGAGTTCTGCGTGAAGGGTCATAAAACAGTTAAGATTGGTCCAAGAGAAATGATGAATTACTTATCAGTATCTTACCTTTTAAGATTTTACGTTTATGGTACCTCTCTTCTTTTTTAATATATATATATATATATATATATATATATATATATATATATATATATATATATATATATATATATGAGACATAATTTTTATATATCAAGAAACAGTATTGAGGAATCTGTAAGACAAAATGAAAAAAGTAAACTTTTCCATTTTGTCTTACAATTTCCTCAACAGAAAGGAAGGGAATTTTAACATTTTTCTTCTATACAAAATATGCCAGCGGCCTGGAGAACTCAATTCATACTTGAAGAGTGATGCATAATAGCAATAGGAGCCACTCACCCCATGCAAAGAAGTAAAACCACTATGATACAAGGGTTTACCAGGTGTGGAAGAATTAGAAAACAGAAACCTTACTAACGAGTAAGAGCAAAAGAAGAATAATCACAAGGACAGTAGATAGCAGTTGATATTGCATTTAAATTTTTGAAGATTAAAGTTGACTGGAAAGCATAGAGTTGAAAGATAAAGATTAGAACTGATAGAAAATGCTTGCATTCGACAGTCTTCAGTGAAAGGTGGGTGACTGAGGTGAGCTTGGTTCATTTGAACGGGGCTAGCCTTGATTTTCTCTTTTAGGTCAAGCCTACATCGCATCGGGGTGGTTTCCTGTGGAGCCCTCCCCTTGTTTAGGTTAGACAAGCTTTTGTGTACCTAGTTAATGTGAGTAAGTGTTGTTCCCGGCCTGTCCCCCACCACATCTTTAGTTATGATCCAGCCTGAGATTCCCAACCTCCTCAGTTTGTTTTTGGCCCCGCTTTTTTATCTCGACTGGGTCAGCTTTATATTTTCCCATGCCCGTATGATTTTTTATCCTTTTCCCACTCCCTTAGCGAGAGTGCCTCTTGATTTTATCCAATGGGCAGAATACAGCGGCCTCTCTGTTTTGAGGGTTGGATGGGCCCTACTAACGTCAGTTATGTTTAATTTGATTTGTGTTAATATTTTAGTTTGTTATTGGGTTCATCTCCCTCCCCTCTCATTTTTTCATCATAGATTTTTATATATATTTCAGCATCATTAAATTTTTATGTCATGGGGCACATTTTGTAGGTCTCGAATGTGGTATTATGGTGTATGGAGGATTGATTGGTGACAGACGAGTTCTTGTGGTGAATGTGGAAATTGTAATGTATGAATGGGTCGTGAATCGTATTAGCTAGTTATAGGATAGTTAGTTAAGACCAGCCTCAACCCCTCCCCACTTTTTCGGCCTCGTGCCATAATTTTATTTTTTAATGCAATAAATAGTGAGTTGAAAGTGTGAGGAAAAAAATGTTAGCATAGCTTTTATGGTTACATCTCACCAACTCGACTGTAAATTGATGAGACCTTGTCACCAGTCTTGTACTGTGTTTATATTTACAAAGTCTAAGTACCATAGTGAAGAGATCATCTAAACAATTGTCATGGAAGTATTTATAGAAAAGGCAAAAGATAGGCAACATTATGGTTGTGGAAAAGTAATTGAGGCCAAGAAACCAGACCAGCACCAATAATATTGCAGATTTATGTTAATAGTTTTAGGTTTAAACTTAAAACTATATATATATTTATATAGATACTAATTTTGACAATTTGAATATGTGAACCAAAATTAGTATAGGCTAGTAGAAGCTGAATTCACAGAAAATATAAACCCAAATTAGTCCAATAAATGCAGCAGTAGTTTGTTTGTAGTGATTAAAAAGTCATATATTTTTCCCTTATGTCAGTGATCAGTTTTGAAGCTCAGGTGAAAGCCAGGGTTTACATTTCTGATTTTCTAAGCTTCCAAGTACATCTTATTTGAAATATTAGTACAAACAATCTACCTAACTCTCATTTCTCTTCTTTTTCATTTATGTGCTGTGTTTGTTCCGGACTTTAGCAATCATGGCTGTCCACAATTTCCTGTCCTTTGTAACTCTTAATAATTTTTTTTCTCTTCAAAACCTTGTTCTGCCATCCATTTAATAAAGCTCCCATGGTAGGTTAAACTAGATTTTCCACTGTTCCCCTTGCCTTAAATCTCTCCTGTGAGCATCAAATTCTTCAAGCCCTCTTTCCTCATTAAGTGCCCTAGAAATTTCAACTCTCTTTTCCTGATGCTAGAGAAATCAACAATGTTTCCAGAAAAAAAAACAACCTGCAATCCAATGAAGAATTGAGAGTTCTGTAATAAGATATGAGGAAATCAAAAGAATTCTAAGGGTAATAAAGAATGGATTAAGAATGCCAGACAGAAGTACAGAAAGAAAGATAAACAGGAGTGGAATAATATATATGGTAAAGATGTACAAGCTCTTGAAATTAAGGAAATGGAAATTCTCAGGAATAGATAAGGCATATAAATGTCTAGTTGAATTTGTTTTCATCTATTTACAAACCATTAACAGATTTGATTTCTAATGTTATCATTAATCTAGAGTAAAAGTCAGAATAGCTACAAAAAGACATTACTTATTTAATCCCCAAAACTGATGACATTGCCAACCCTTCAAATTGATGACCAATCACGTTTCTTCAAAACATGCACAAGACATCAAGATTAAGTAAAAGAACATATCATTTCTTTGAAACTAATAACGTTATCCCTGAAGAATAAAAAGGATACAAGAAGGTTGTTACAGCTGCAAAGATCAATTGCTGCTGATCAAGATGTTGCTGGAGAACTGCCATCAAAAAAAAAAAAATTGTAATGCATGGATAGACTATAAAAAACTTCTGATAGTATGCCATAGGATTAGATCATTTTTATAACCATTTCATCCAAGCAAGGCAACAAAGCCACTAAGATGCAGGGGTTTACTGAGTGTTAGAGAATATGAGAAAAAATAAAACACTATTAAGAAGAGAGATCAATAAAAGAAAGGAATTAAGAAGAAAGAATATAACGATTGACATAGCATTTAAATTTTTGAAGATCAAAGCGGACTGGAAAGCAAGATGCCAGAAGAGAGTTCCACGAGTGAGAAATGTGGGAGAAGAAACTATTAGCAAAGAACTTACAGTTACATCTAGCAGCCATTGCAACTGTAAAATGATGAAACCTTTCTATCAATCTAGTACTGTGCTTATATTCATAGTCTAGGTACCAATAGAGGAAATTTCAACAGAACAATTACCATGAAAATATTTATAGAAAAGACACAGGGAAACTATATTACAGTGGTGAGAAAGTGACTGAAGCTGAGATGCTAGGTCAGGTCCAAAGGCAAGGGAAATTTCTCCTATTCTTATTAATTAATGTATTGCTACCTTAAAGCCCAATCTTCCAAATGGTAAAGTTAGATCTCATAACTTACAAATAATGGAATATTTTAAGCAGACTACACACTAAACTGAGCTAAACACAGAAAATGTTTTAAGCTATTAAAACCTTAGCAATACCTATTGTTACATATTCTTTTAATGCGGTAGATTTAAGATAAAAGTGAGAGGCTTAAAGCCATGCCATGTTGAAAACCTAGTTCTTGCCTGATCACCAAAGTTAAGCAATGTAAAGCCTGGTCAGTACCTAGATTGGTGACCACTTGGGAATACTAAGTGTTGCAGGCTTGTGCAGATGGTGTAATGGATAATGGCAGGAAAGGAGAAATTGGAGAGCCGAGTTCCAATTCCAGACTTTTGCTATATTCACTTACGCATAAATGCCCTTGGGAAAGGGTGTGAATCCATTGCTTCTCCTCCAGGCCTACTACTTAACATCTATTGGAAAATCGTTATCTCCATTATACAGAAGGTTGATATGTTAGACATTTTCATGACGGTCGTCCTCGAGTATAGAATCCAGTGGTTGGCAGTGAATATTTCGGAGACAGTAGGAAAGCGTAGTGCAGGTTCGCAGTAGATATCACAGCAGAGCGTAGTTCTTCCGTCTGTCATGTTCGCCGGACAAGTTACTTCTGGTCCTTCCGGTGAGAAAACAAAGATGGCCGCCTTTATACACGACGGATACAGTGTTGGGCGGCTTCTGATTGGTCAACCTTCTATTGGTCGACTATAAAGGGAAATAAGTCATTTTGGCTCGCTCACTAGTTATATATGCAATATACCCCAAAAACTGTAACATGATAAGCTGTAAAAAACAAATCAATTAATCAATTGATAAGTGAGAAGATATAGACAGAAAAATCAGAAAATTTCTAACCATATATAAAATGCATCATCCCAAAGCAGATTGTCTGTACCTAACTTGGCATTGATCCAAATAGAACCCATATAGAGGATTGCAATTATAGAGTTTGAAAGACAGATAGAACAAATAAATGATTGAACATTAAAAGTTAAATTCATGTGACACCCAGTGAGAATTGAAACCACAAGATATGATTTACAAAACTCATAGAATTACCCCACCTTGTCTGCCAGGGGACTTCTTCTATCACTTGCTATTTAGCATTATATAAAGCTATATAAAATGAAAGGACACAAAATGTCTCTCTTCTTTTTTCTTTTTAACCAATGATGCCATAGTGAAAAGACATGTCTCGATTCCCCTTCAATGGACTTCTTAGTCCCCAAATCATGTACCACAATGCATTGTATCTCTCCACTTTCTCCTATTAAGAAAAAGAAAGAAGAAGAAGACAGGCTGTTAGTTTACTAAATTTAATATGTGTAAGTTTCAAATCCAGTCTAAATTCATAAAATAAAAATTGCAAGGAAACAAGATTTATAGCCATGGGTAAGTGTTTACATCTCAAATAGCATTGGGCAGAGATCAAATCTGTGGATCAATAACCATTTTTGTATATTTCACTTTCTTTAATAAAACATTTCGATATCTATAGATATTTAACTTTTTAAAACATTTTTCAGCCTTTCACAACTATAACAAATTAAATGATGAAAATCTTCACCTTAAATGATGAAGTCCTTCACCTTGAAAAGTTGTAGAAAATTAAATGAATATAATTCAATGACTTTTTAAACTAAAATGTTTATATTTTTTGTTGTATTTTGACTGATATATTCTTCAGTTTTCCTCAGCTGTATTTTGCATCAACAAAGACATCATGCTTTATTTTGTCTAGGTGTTGTTCATAATATCTTGCTTACATCCACTGCCTTTCTGAGAAGTACAGGATGTGAGATAAATCTTAAGAAATGTCAGAAAATACAATATAGAGGAATAAAGACAATAAATGTTCAGACGAGATCCACCATGCCATGTGGCCAGTGAAAACCATTCCCCATTCACAATGTGTGTTCCTTTAAGAAAAAAAGCAATTTCCACTAAGACAGCTTCTTACTTCAAAACTGTTACTTTATGTTATAGTGGAACAACCTATCACACCCCGACAGTGATCGGTCAGTCTAAAAAGATGTGAATGAGGAGAAAATAAAAGACATGACAAAGTATTGTAGTAGCAGTACCACTATGGTACTCCGTGACGTATCTCCCATTTTTCTTCTTATTATTATTAAGAACTCTTACTCATTGTACTTTCCGTACAATAAAACCCATATTATTTGTTTCACCTAATTCCTGTGTTTAGCGTACTCTTTCCGCTCAGAATTACCTAGTTGCTTATATCGTATTATCCATGATATAACACTTTACAAACTCCCAAGAGAATACTTACCTGACAACAAGATTCTTGGTCTCTTTAAGTCCAGTATCACCCAATATATATCCTACTTGTCTCTAGATTGCTCTATTACTTCCTCCTCCCTTATAATCTCACTCAGTAAGTCTCTAACGTGAGTGGCTCTTGGGCCTTGTATTGAGTGAACTATCAGTAAACAAAAACAAACTTCTCATATTCATGTTCTCTGAACATTTTGATATCTCTAGATATTTCATACTCTGTGAGGATTTTAATATCTCTGGATATTTCACTCTCTTTGAACATTTCATTTCCTTTAAGAAAACATTTCAATATCTCTGGATATTTCACTTTTAGAACATTTCTATATCAAGATATTTCATGTTCTGTGAGGATTTTAGTATCTCTGGAATATTCCACTCTCTTTGAACATTTCATTTTCTTTAAGAAAACATTTCAATATCTCTGGATATTTAACGTTTTGAACATTTCCATATCAAGATATTTCGTGTTCCGTGAGGATTTTGATATGTCTAAATATTTCACTTTCTTTAATATAACATTTTCATATCTATTGATATTTAATTTCCTTTGAACATATTGATATCTCTAGCTATTTTGCTCTCTTTGAAAATTTAATTTCTTAAATAAAACATTACATTATCTTTACATAATTCACTTTTTGAATGTTTTGATAACTCTGGATATTTCGCTTTTCCTAAACATTTCAATATCTCTGGTTATTTTGGTTTCTTTGTACATTTCTCTTTCCTTCAACATTTCAATATCTTTTAACATTTGAATTTCTTTGACATTTCAATATCTTCCAACATTTCATTTTTCTTTCAACACTTGGTAAAATGAACAATTTATTCCTTTGATTTCTTAAACCTTTTGGAAGCTATTACCTTTGACTTTTTGCTATTGAACTTAATGTGATTTCTGAGTCCTTGTATTTTTTTCTAATTGAAAACAGTTTGTCTTTGAACTTTGCTATCATCCATATTGATCTTCATCTCTCTGTGTGTCTGTATTTTTTGCTCTGTCTAGAGTGACTTTCTTTGATGAATATTAAGAACTAAAAAGTGCTATTGCTGATGTTATTTTTGACTGAATGTCTGCCTTGACTCAATGCCTGTTTCTTTGTAAAAACCTATTGAGTGATTTCATTACAGTTTTCAGTTCAAGAATGTTTCTTCCAACTTCTTGCTTTAAATTTGAAGAACTTTCATTTTCTTCTAATTAATTTACTTTACAGATAAAAATTATCAGTTGTATAATATTCTAAAGAGTGTTTCAATAAGACATATTATATATAAGGGTGTTTGTTTAAGACGGATCAAAGTCAGCAGTAAATAAATCAGTGTTATTGGTGAAAATTTATTTATTACTCTATTGGATCATGTTATTTAAGTCATGACAATTATGTGTGGAAAATAACATTGCCCAGTTGTCTGCAAAATCTGAAAGAAAAAGAAAAAAATCATTAGATGCTTAAACTTAATTCACATTTAAAATCAGTCAAGTTATTGGAACACCCTTTAGAATATTCCAGAACTAAATCATGTTCTACCAAAATTCAACTTTCATTGCACAACTAAAAAGGACTTCTTTATTCCCTTTTTTTTTTACAATAAGGTTCATCCTGTACAAGGGCTGGGGGCCTCTTGAGGTAGAGGATTACATGAAGGAGTGATTTATCATGGATAAGCTGGGAAGATAACAGTTAACTCTAGACTTAAACAGGTTAAGATTGTAGTGATCAGGAAACATCCTCATGGGAGACGGTTTTGCAGAGCATTGGTTCACAGGAAGATGTTTGAGTGGAACTTACTTCTCAGTGATGGAAAATCGATGGAATGTGGGTGGTTTGCTTCTATGTAAGTGGCATGGCTGCTCCTAACCATGAAGGCTAGACCTGGTGGAATCAAGCAATGTAGTTCGTCCAATCACTTTCTATGAAAGTAGCGATAGAGCAGCAAGAAACTCACCACACCTACCTGTGAGAGACGTTGGAGGGTAAAAAATAATTCTTCTCTTACAAGGACTCGGAGACACTTTTGAATTCTATCAAGACTGGAAAGTGAGGACCAGATAATGCATTTAATACCACCCTAATGTTTTCTTTGGATTTTATAAGTACATAAATGCACTGACTCTTCAGAAAGATGGAGGTAATTGTGTTGTTAATCTTTCCAGTGGTTCATATATCTATCTATCTATCTATCTACTATCTATATTTCTCATGTTGTCTGTCTGTGTGTCTGTCGTGGGCGTTGTTACCTCGCACAGGCTGCATTTCTCACCCGATTTCGATGGGGTTTTCAACACAAGTTTGCAAATGGCTGCCGTAAGGACATGACGGAGACCGATTTTTGAGTTCGGAATCAGGTTCCGAAAAAATCGATAATCGAAAAAATCGATAATCGAAAAAAATCTGCTTACAGAAGGAATGATCGCATTTCAACCAAATTTGACACCCTCTCAGAGTCTACCACTAGAAGTGTTGTCCAGAAGTTTCTCTCTTATATCTGGGTTTCTCTTATATCTGGGTTTCTCTTATATCTGGGTCTCTTATATCCGGGTTACACTGTACTTTGAAGATCAGACTTTGAGCACCAGTGGACACATTGTCATGGCGTCTCATTAATAAAGATAAAATGTGGCATTATCACCTTGCCTGGGGTGAAATGATTAAAAAAGGGGGATTTAATCCGAGTTTATCTTTTTATATCCTTCTCTAGTCACTTATGATTAATTTCTTTTCAGGATTCTCGCTAACCAAAGACTCCAGTAAGATCTACCATTTTTATATTTGTTGTAACCTGTCAAAACTACTAAAGTTCAATGAAAACAAAGGTGCTTACTTCAACATCTACTGTTCAAAAAACACGAGATTGTTCAGTTTTACTCTAGCTCTGTGCATCTAGTCTTGGGGCAAGAAAAAAAAATTAAAAGCTATAAAAAATATTGTCTGACCAATCAGAAAAGCTTTACACTGCTTT